TTTTCTCTTCCCTCCTACCGTCGAAAACTACTCGCAATAACACAAGACTTTGGCATTGCTGCCTATTTTCACCCGTTAACCACTCTTCCGCAATTGGCGTCAGTTGGCATTCAGCGACATGTAAACAGGGTGTTCAAAGCAATTTTTTTCATTTCTGGCTTATTGTGACATGTATCAGGTATTTTTGAGGCTGAGGAAAATCACGCATTCTATTTTGTTTTTCTATGCAATAAACGAATTTTGTAAAAAACCCCAACCGTTTCTTCAGTATTCACAGAAATAACAGGCTTTCTGAAAAGCCAAATCTTTGAGTGCGGGTTTCGTTAACAGGAATATTCGAATTCCCCTTCAATTCTCTTCTTAGTGATTGTAGAAATTTGATCACGAAGTGCTAAAATCGATTCTGACATTGTTTTTAATTGCGTTTCCTTGTGTTGGCCAGCAGACGAATTTGAAGCAAATATATTGCCTGATATTTGAACGATTTTATACTGAAATCATACAAACAGGTAACATTCAAAAGTAGCCTTAGGCAAACGCATTTGACGATGCTGGTTTATAATGGCGTCTCTAAGAACTACTACTGCCCACTGGTATATATGGAAATCGTCGGGGTAGCTAAGACGTCATGCAGATAAACCCATAAAGCCTTGGTGACTAAAGCTTAGCCGACAATTGCTAAGGCCGATCAAGTCGAGTCAGATTTACTCGGAGCAGTCATGGTAGAATTTCAGCTGATGTGGCACGTTGACACAAATCTTACATCTAACAGCTCTTGGGTGGCCACACGGCACGTGCACCCAGGAAAAATCTTCAAAGTGAAGACTTCTGGGTGTTTACGTGGTACAAAATTTATTTTTTGTTGATTGTTGCCCCATTTCACACATTTTCGACCCTTCAATGAGGGTTGACGGTGCTCAAATTTTTTTTTCCAACACTAATTACCAGAAGCCGTATCCAAATCTGCCATTATTATTTCACTGGATGCTAAAGCAAATTCTACGATCTTGTGGTACGTTTGTCAATGTAGTCGAACAATCATCGGCTTAAAACTATCACAGTACATTTTCAAGTTAACACGTAGAAATTTATTTTTCTGTGAACAAAATCCTTTCATAAAAGAAAAAATTGAGGTCACTATTATTCCAAATCAAATGTGTCCTTGTTCCAGGCTTTTCGCGCCACACCTGAACTATGTCCTTCACGAGTCTTAGTACCCTGATCAGATTCAACAATTCATTTGCAGTAACCGCTAGGTTGATGGTGCTGCCAACGTTGTTACCGACGTGAGTCTCCTTTTATACTTCTTGATATCAAAATTAAACTTTCAGCCTTTTGAGAAAATGTGAGGGTAGACCCTGTCAAAGTTGCTTGCACTAACGACTGCGACAATGAAAACACCCTATACCTGTTAGACCCTACGTTTCGGTCTATTCCAAATGCGGTCTGATCGCTTTTCTGTTTTGGTACGATTGGTTTGGAGCGATATTTGTGTCTGGCAGTAAACAATGACTGTTGTATTGCTTGGGTGATCTCTCCTTTCTTGACGTCTGCTTATGTCGTCAATTGCTCACATGATGTTGTCGCGCTGCTCTGCCAATAAGATTGACTTTTAGTTGAGGGATACGTGTGTTAGATGACTTATACGTGAGCGTTTACTTGAATTTCAACCCACTGGTTTTCTTTGCAAGTCACATGCGCAAATATGGTATTATTGAACACCTACATGCTTTGGTTTACGAGATGCTAATGGTCAAATATGCTCTACATTTGTGGTAGCCGTGGGCACTTTGCGTTAGGATTTTTGATGGAAAAAGGGAAAGATCAGTGCTGAATTACATAAGCTCCTTTGACGCCTTATTCCAAGTAGATTACTTGGGGTAGCAAGTATTAGTTGAAAGTTGTCCTAACATGACGGTGAACCTACAGCACTGATTCTTGTGTCTGGCTGGATGAGCATTGGTCGCATTTGTGAATCGAACACCACGGTAGCAGAAATTAACCCTACTTGTTCAGCTAACTCAACACCTCTAGACGATTACCCGATAGGTATATTAGGATGCGATGACTAGATAGTAACCTGTCCAAGCGGTGGTAAAATCGCACGCATCTTCAAATCAGTTTAGTGAGGAACATTGGGTACGACAGCACTTCCTAGAAGTTGCACGATCACTGAAGCCCGTAATCGGCATTGTTAGCTAAATTCCTCGCAGGCACATTATAAACATTCCTTTGTGCTGATTTGGTTTGAAAATAGGTAGCTTAAATATGAATATCTGCGATCCGTTGCTGCACATTCTTGCTCAGCAGCATAAGTCTAGGAAGCGTGCACCGATCACCACTCAGTTGCTAAAGTGAAAAATTGATGGGCGAATTGTATACTAAGTCTGCTTGATGATTACAGAAGGAATGATGACTAGACATTACTTTGTGCTCTTTGTGAATGCTTACCGAACTTTGTCTTTCAGAAAACCATGTAACACCACCTTCCACTTGACCAATAACTAAGGAAGGTGATACGGGACAAGCAGAACTGGCATCTGACAAGGCCTATCTTCCATTTTGGCTTAAATCTGTACTACGTATTAGGACAGATTCGGAGTAGAAAATAGACAATTACATTCAAAATATACGAATGTGTATTGGCATTTTAATCCTTTCACAATTGTAGACAACTAAAATCAGTCTATCTAAGCAATACAATGCACAATTACGCGATGCAAAGGCATTCGTGTCATGTTGTAGTAGATTTTAATTTTTTCCTGACTTTTGTATCTTTTTTGCAGCTGTAAACTGCGCCTTTGAATGAGATCGCGTTTCTGCTATATCCAGCTGCAAAATTCCTAAGTCATCCGACATTCCCTTTCATATTTCAAATCTGCAAATAGAAGATATTGCATCGTTCAAGTCGTCTTCTCTCAACATTCCCCAAACCATTAAACGTCAGAGATCAGTCATATAGTGGCAATTTGTTTTGCGTCTCTGTGTCTATTGGCCATCCGAATAAAAAATAACACCGGATATTCTATCGCATCAAAAAGATCGTTGCCGAAATTACCGACCCAAGTCTATTGTCAGTACCATCTGCATCCTCAGCATACTGACTCCAATCCCAAGCGGCAGTGTTGTCCTATAACACTGATTTATTACAATATACCTTTTGCTATGCAAATTTGAGTAGCGCTTAGGGTTCAACAAAAATCATCGAGACTGACAGCGAGATACACGTTGTGACTTTCAGTTACAATGGTATTTTTTTTGTTTAGTCAAGGTACAAGGTTCAACCCGGTTGTTAGACATGAACGTAGGAACAATGCTTCCATCCAGCAGCACAAGGTGTTCAAGGAAGCTGTGTAGTCTCATTAAATCACTGGTGATGTCATCAATGCAAATGCGAAAATTGCGTAGGATGTGGCAAATTTGTTTTGGTTGCAGAAATCCTACGTAGGCTTGTGTCAATTTAAATCATTTACACGTATGCAATATTCTATTCATATATATACCTTCATTTTAGTCGATGCTGCTGGTGTAAACGGTTTACTACCATCCGGCAGTAAGGCAAGTTGTGCTTCAGTACCCTAATACCACGCGCCTAGACGGGACAGCAAAATTCACAAAATGATGATACAATGCTCAAAATAATCATTGCACTGGTTTTGGTTGGATGTGTGATTGCTGAAGTTCCCTCTCAGCCTGAACGAGATGAAATTCTGGCAAATCTCACGGCGCTGCGTAGAGACGTTAAACCACAAGCCAGCAACATGCACCTACTGGTGAGTTGGGATAAAATAAATCAACGTTTTGCGGAGCACAAATCTGTTGTGCTGCATCATGTAAAAAACACTAATTCCTTCTTTGTTACAGGCCTACTCTGCAGAAATGGAGCAAGTAGCAGACAAATGGGTGTCGCGTTGTATAAAAGCCTATCCATTTTCTGACACCTACCCGGAATTCAAGGACATTGGCTTCGTTTTGCACACGTCAGATTTCGAACCGCGATTTGCAGACGTTCTTATCCGTGCTAATGATAAAGCGGCATACAATTATTACAAAGACGTTTGCATCAGAGACTGCTATGATTAAAAGCAAGTAAGTGTTCACCTAAATTTGCTAACCATAAGATGCATCTTAACTTGACGTTGGCTTTGAAGATGTCCGAATCGATTACGAGCTTAAAGTTAAGCGTCGTTTACTAAATTGCATTTCATTTTTCATTTAGTACCACAAGGTTGGTTTTCTAGTTGTTTGTATGTGGCGAATTTAGACCAGAAGATAAATGTGGTTGCGTAAATGTATCCTAATGCTCGTTTTGAATTTACCGAAACTGCATCAGTAGTAAGAAGGTGTGAATAATGCAGGCAATAGCATGCATAAATTGTGGTAGGAGGCATTGTTAGGCACGTCAAAAGCGTCTAAATCATTTTGTTGCCACGCGACACCTGTTATTGTTAAATGTGACGATGAATCATGTTAGCGTATTCACCATGCTAGTTTCGACTTTAAGAGGTAATTCACGTCAACGAAATGCAACGCATTTCGTTAACAAAAGCTGCCAGTATAATGTTTTGTTAAGGGAAAGTTTTCACACAAATCTGCATTTCATTGTTGAAGCAAAGCAGAAAAATTAACCATTTGCACTTGTTACACTGCTCAGAAAATAATAGTTAATGCACTTTTTAAGGCCGTGTGGGCAACATCGACTGAGGTGGGATGTGCGAAGCAATTCTGCAAAGAAAAAAACCTGGGCATCGTGGCTTGTGCATTCAACAACGCGTGAGTGCATTTTAAGAAAAGGACCTTTTTCATTGCATCAACAATTAATTAGTAATTTAAACATGTTTAGAACTAACATTGGCAGCATTAAAAGCAATGTAATTACCGAAATGACTAGGAATTTAGTATTAAGCTGCTTTAATGCTTGTTATCTTTGTTTTCAGTGACAACTCTCAGAGTGGGAGACCTTATATATTTGCCCCAACCTGCAGCCAATGTCCCGACGGTTACGCTTGCTTGCACAAACAATGCACGCCGCAACCTGGAAGTGAACCGACTACCGCAGATTCTACAACTCTGCCAACTTCATCCTCAGTAACTACAACCACATTTTCAACAACGCCAGTTTCTGCAACTCCGGCCTCCACAAGTCCGGCTTCTACAATTCCGGCTTCTACGACCGCCACTACGACCTCTTCTTCAATTCCAGCTTCCACGACCACTGCTTCTGAAATCCTTCCATCAACGTCAACTTCAACAACGGAGAGCATTGACCGAAGTTCCTCTACACCACAAAGCCACACGGCGTCATCAGTTGTCGACTCATCAACCATCGTCCAAAGTGGCCCAACAACGTCCGATTCCACAATGCTTCTAGCTCTAACATCTACGCACGTCGCAATGCTCACAATTCTTAGTTTCGCCTAATCCTATTTACTTTTTCTGCTCAAACTCGAATTCTTCATCGTAATAATTGTGTTATATTTGATTTGGCTGTTTTCCTGAAGACGTAAAGTCATGAAATGACGGTGATCTTAAATTCTTTAATTTGCACGTTTGTAATGCCTGCGTTTTTGTCAGCATAATCATTTTCTTAGCCCCTATGCAGTTCTATCAGAGACATTGAATAGATAAGGCATAGAAGCCTGACTCAAATTTGTGTTAGAGCTGGCAAAATCTTGACAAATTCCAAGTTTATGTATAATACACAGCAGCATGTAAATATGCATTACAGTGCAATATAACCCAATTACTAGCAACTTATGCACTTCCACAATTGTCTGCTAAGGCCATTGTGCATGGGAAATGATGCACTAATATTTGGACCAATCACAGTTTCCCACATACACCTGTGGATTGTCGTTGGTGCACATGCAAACGCATAAGCTTATGCAAAGCAACCGGTACATCGATTCAGCATTTCACTACCTTATGCTAAGCCCGAACTGGTTAGGGATCAATGCACTGGCATTCACACGGACCTGGTCTGTGCAACCATTGCACTCTTACCAGATGCCGACATGCAAGCTTTCACTAAGGTGCCAACAATGCCAGCTAGAAAAAGGCCTTCTTTTGTAACTGACTTAGGAATTTAACTTTACGGCAAGACACCTGATGCGACTTTCTTGAGAGTCGTTTGAAGTCAAATTGTTCACAAGATGGCTGCCTCTTTATGATGGCATTTTCCATTCGTCACTGTACTTTCGAAATCACGTTAATGTGGTTGCTTTGTGAGTGCTACGTGGTCTTTTGACAGTAAACGTGGATTTTCAGTTCAGAGAAACTTTGTAGATAATGTGAAGAAATTTCGTTACCTTCAGTTCTTTCATGTATTTCAGACACGCATGATAAGCCTGTGTATAATGGACATTGATGCAGGACTCACAAATTCCACATGACCACTTTTGTGTAGGCGTTTCTCGAAAACAGCATCCAGTCCTGATCACAGCAATCTGGCATGTCCCAGTCATGCAACAAAGCAGACAATCTCGCCACGAAATGCATTCTGATTCAACGAAGGTCTTCAGATGTGCGTCAGGTTGCGCAATTTAGCAAGTAGTCTGCTCTCAGACACTTCATGCGCAATATCCCAATTCCTGAATAACCACTTGGCTATATTCGCAGTTTGAAAAATACAACCAGCGCTAGTTATAAAAGTACAGCATCCTACTGTAAGCATTACTGAAGTTTGGTGCTGTTTGACCCATTATAATCATGACTGATAAGCGCTTTAGGTTGAAGTGCTTAGATGATGTGGATTTGCAAGCATTTCGTTTAACCGCAATTCCAATGTTTGTCTGTTTCAATCGCGTTTTATTTTGAAAAATTTGCAAGATTAACTTCTTTTACGGATTTGGTACTCACTCACAATAAGTGACAGCGAAAATTCTGATGAGTTTATCGATTAATCGGAATGACATCGTTCCTGTCTGGATTTAAGTCAAGCTCTAATCGATGTCTTGATCTTAGTAGATTGGTTGTCAAACTACTATGTTCGGTTATGTGTTCTTGTTGCTATTTTACTTTCCATGGCAGCTCCAAGATCTTGCTAATTCTTTATGGGTTGTGATGTGAAGAGAGACTAGAGCCCTGGCATCCGGGTGCATTGCCTGTGTTAGTCAAATGGGTGCGCATTATAGGTCCCTTGGTCTGCACGTTAATGAACTCATCAATTGTGGTATACTTAATTATGTTAATGCAAAAGCAAACCCCGCGCTCAGTTTGATAATTCTCATCTTGATTAACAAAACGTCTTGATCTCTTCGTTCTTTTAGGAGACCATGGAGTTAATCGGAGTGTTGTGAATAAGACACACTGACGTCGACACATAATTCGAATGTAATGTTTATAATTAAGTTGTCCTGTGGCTAAAAATTTATTTGTGCTTACAGTTGTCGCAGTCTTAATCGAGACCAACGTAGTTATTCTTTACCTCTGCACACAACACAAAATCAACTGAGGGCGCTCAATTGATGAATGGTCAATCGCAGGACGACGTAGTTATTCTAAAAATTGTTTCGGTTATATTGAGTGAAACATGAAGCAGCGTCATCATTATCAATTTGCAAAGACGAGTGAGTCATTCTTACAATCTAGCCAGTAAACACGCGAGGTGGATGGCGGTGCACTACAAAACCAGTCACCACTTAGAACCTGCTACAGTGAAATCTACCCCACATTTCACGATTAAAGAGTTGTAAAACAGACATTGGAACAAGTAGAGATCAGGCAAGGCAGGCGATAGCAAACACGACCATGCAACAGTGTCAGGCTAGGCAAGTGTCTCTGTGTTTGGTATCTTTAAACAAATAAGTCCTGATGAACAGCTTCCTTGTCAAGCGGTGACATACCAAGGAACTATTACCGTCGGTGTGTTATGTTTCATTTTTGCAGTTTCTATGACAGCCCCATATCTTCAATCTACCCTACATTCGGTGACGCTGATTACGAATTCAGCCATGTTGCTACTCATGAGTTAAGAAATTACGATGGAAGTGAGCTGCTTCCACAATTGTGCAACATGACGCAAACCTGTACAACTTCGTTGAAACAGATTACATGTTTGTGGCGAGACTGTTCTCTAATTAGTTTGTCTGTAACATCCTGTATGGATGAGAAAAGGACTGGGTATTTTGTCGAACAACGCCCACACTAACCGATCATTTCGAACCTGCGAGTAGTACAACAATGCCTTTCCGATAATGCAGAAAGTCGGCCTTGTTCAAAGGCACAGTTCACAGCCGCACAAGACGGTAAATAATTGCGAACAAAAATCGAAGCATCAACATCAAGTACAGCAGGACACGAGTGAGTGCCTTTCCATCGTCAAAATATGCTTTATATTGATTAGAGAGAGACTGATGTTGGCTGTCAACAAATGTGATATATTTTAAATGCTACTTTGCTTTCACACAAGTGTTAATGGGTTGATTCACTACCTGTTTAAATTAGCCATTATGTTTAGTGCCAATGGTTTTAATTTGTGCGAGATTTAACCATTACTGGGACACGTTGCTGACTGGCTTTTGTTTTTCCGGATGGACTGACTTTTTTAGAACACCCCTATGGCAACCGTCTGGAGATGTTGCGTCAGCTGAACGAAGGGCTTAGTATCAAGTACCATGGTGTGCGATTCACAAATGTGACTAGTGCTCATCCAGCCAGACACAAGAATCAGTGATTTAGGTGTACCGTCATGCTAGGACAACCTTTAACCAAAGAGTACCACTCAAAATAATATGCTAACAAAAACATCCTCCAGGCAGATCATGTATTGAACCACTGACCTCTCTCATTTTCTTGTTATCGTTTAACTTTTGCAAAATAAGTCCCTTAGCCAACCACCACATTAAAAACACCCAGTGTAATAAACTTTAGCACATTCAACCTGCAAAATAGGTTATTGCCTACGCATTTTGTCTGCACTGCCACTTGGTAGGCACACAAGACAGTGAGTAAATTGGTTTTCAGTAAAATGAGACATTACGAATGCCATTTGAGTAAAGCGTCCAATTTGTGGAATAATCTACATTCATTATCTCTTGAAGACGTCAATCGATTTTGCAAATCGATAAAGCAAAGTCTACGGAACAGTCATTGATCTTTACAATGCCTAGTTTTTACATCAGGAATCATGTCCATTCTCGACCATTATTCAGATTGATCCATTCTTACGTATGTACTGCCCCCTTTGCATGTGGGACCGTCTGCTGACACACCTCACGATCCCACCTCACGAATTCACATACAATACATGAACATGACAGCCACACAGCTAGATTGGATTGTTCTGTAAACCGTTGTCACAACCAAATGTATTTTCATGCTTTTGGCTCGGTGCCTCGAGTAATCGAACCAAATTCAACCCAGTAGCCACATAGAAGGACCCACAATATTATGTGGATGCAAGTATAGCATAATGTATTCTGGCAGTTTGTATTAACATATTTGGGTCCATGAGACATAAATGATTGAAAATCGGAAAATGATGTAAAGTTGCCTTTAGACTCGCTTCTGTGTCATTGATGCAACTCAATTCCTCGTCTTTTCACGAAATAAGACTAATATATTTTTGATCAAGTGCCGTTTGCTCATGCTCCAATCAGATTATGTATAAATTGAACATATTTCAATCGCGATGACACTCGAAAAACAATATGTTAATCGAAGGTAAAACAGCATCAACCAGTTACTGGATGATTCAAATTAGGCTAGATGGACTAGTGAACGAACATGTGACTTTGTGGAATGATCGTTTATGAGCGTTGAAAGGGAATATGGAGGGTGCTTTCTTGGTTGATCCAGACTTATAATTCAGCACCCTTCGGTAAGGTGCTCCTGTTTGTCTGCTCTCATCGCTTTATGCAATGTTTCCATGGAAACACACGGCAGTGGATAATTGGATTCCCCTTTCTGTTTAAACTGTTTTCTAGACAGCACACGCTTTCCGCGTGAAATGCAGTCTTTTGCGTAAACTGCTCTACCATCCCACCAATCACTTGAGTGCTTTGTGTAGGCGTTGTTCAAGTAAATACCATCTCCTACGTTATTGCTGGTAAACGATGCTTTGAGGCCTCCGATAACGTGGGTTAATTTGAATACATGTTTCCTGAGAAGCGATTTTGAATGTAATATTATTTAATGAGAACTTAGCATACGGAGTATTGGACATTTTACTTGGCCAAATTAACACCAGACTGTAATCAGTCGAATGACAGTGATTACAATATGCTGCCTGAAAATTTAACCGAAAAATGGAAGTCCAAATTCGCATGTCAAAATACAAATTATAATGTGCGAGACCAGCTAGTTGAATAGTTAAGAAGGAAGATGT